GTTTCTGTGCAAGGGCTTTCTCTAGTTGTGGCAAGCGGAGGCCACTCTTCATCGCGGTGCGCGGGCCTCTCACTATCGCGGCCTCTCTTGTTGCGGAGCACAGGCTCCAGACGCTCAGGCTCAGTAGTTGTGGCCCACGGGCCTAGTTGCTCCGTGGCATGTGGGATCCTCCCAGACCAGGGCTCGAACCTGTGTCCCCTGCATTTGCAGGCAGATTCTCAACCAGTACGCCACCAGGGAAGCCCCTGATTTCTCTTTTCTAATCACCCTCCTCTTTCATATAACCCAGAACCTGGTCTGCCTGAGAGTTTTATGTTTCCATTTATTTACCCAGCATTGCTCTTATTCTTGTGAATGAATAAACCTATTGTACCGAGACAGTCTGTCCCTCCCTCCCTCCCTGGGCTGGCTTTGCCAAACTTTCCTCCTCCAACAAACACTGAGAGTATGATGGTCCAATTGCACCTGACATGAGCCCTCAGTTTCTCCACTGGGATTGGGAGGGGGTGTGAATGACATCACTTAATTCTGCTTTAGAGCACTCTAAGAGAAACTTGCAATAGTGTAAGAAAAGAAAGCTAAAACAACGTGCTAAGGCATTTTGGATATGTCAACAGCTAGCTCCTCTAGTCCGCGGCATTCAAACAGACTTGGTAAGTGAACTTTCTTTGAAATAAAATCATCGAATATTTATATAGATACACCATGAATACCTCTTTGGGAGCCCTAGAATATTTGTTTTTTTCCCTTGTGGGCACCAAACGTTTGCTCTCATTCCTGAAGTGTCCACTGATGGCAGATTTCTGGCCCTTCCTATTAATTTTGGTTCTGCTCTGTTTAAGCTTAAAATTTTCCTTGTCGTGATCCAGGCACATCCTAGCTCTGGAGGGACTTCCTTCCCTTTCCCGTCTCTTAGCCTCCTACTCTGAGTTTTACTGAATTGTTATTTGCCAATTAAACTGCCTTCTCTCTCTTATAACCAGAATCTTTTAAGGGTAGAAGGCAGATTTATCTAGAAAAATTTCATTAGTGTCTGGATCAAATGGCAAAATGGTTCTGAGGAGTACTGGCCAGTAGATAGCTCTTAACTTATTAACATCGGAGCTCAAAGAAATGTAATCAATCAATGTATTAATACGACGAACCTCACAGAGCTGTTGGGAGATCTATAGGGTGTAGCCCATTTACAACAATGACCAGCCCACAGGAAGTACCCAATAAATGTGAACGTTTACTGGTACTCTTTAAATTTTTTATTCTCATTAAAATTATTTTAATAGCATACATATGTAGCATTATATCTTATTTTTCATTAATTTATTTTATTTATTTATTTATTAATAGATCTTTATTGGAGTATAATTGCTTCACAATACTGCATTAGCTCCTGTTGTACACAAAAGTGAATCACCCATATGCATACGTATGTCCCCATATGCCCTCCCTCTTGAGCCTCCCTCCCACCCTCCCTATCCCACCCCTCTAGGTGGTCACAAAGCACCGAGCTGATCTCCCTGTGCTATGTGGCTGCTTCCCACTAGCTATCTATTTTACATTTGGTGGTGTATATATGTCCATACCACTTTCTCACTTCGTCCCAGCTTACCCTTCCTCCTCCCCGTGTCCTCAAGTCCATTCTCTATGTCTGCGTCTTTATTCCCATCCTGACCCTAGGTTCTTCAGAACCAATTTTTTTTTTTTTTAGATTCCATATATATGCGTTAGCATACAGTATTTGTTTTTCTCTTTCTGACTTACTTCACTCTGTATGACAGACTCTAGGTCCATCCACCTCACTACAAATAACTCAATTTCGTTTCTTTTCATGGCTGAGTAACATTCCATTGTATATATGTGCCACATCTTCTTTATCCATTCATCTGTAGATGGACACTTAGGTTGCTTCCATGTCCTGGCGATTGTAAATAGTGCTGCAATGAACATTGTGGTACGTGACTCTTTTTGAATTATGGTTTTCTCAGGGTATATGCCCAGTAGTGGGATTGCTGGGTCACATGGTAGTTCCAGTTTTAGTTTTTTAAGGAACATCCATACTGTTCTCCATAGTGGCTGTATCAATTTACATTCCCACCAACAGTGCAGGAGGGTTCCCTTTTCACCACACCCTTTCTAGCATTTATTGTTTCCAGATTTTTTGATAATGGCTATCATTAATTTATTTTAAATGTGATGTGTTAAAAAAATTTTTTTTAATGGGTATTCATTCTATATGGCAAAGTAGGCCATGGCACAGTGGATACAACGAAAGGCAAAACACAGACCCCATGTCTGCCCTTAGCTGGAGTACCTTCTAGTGGTCGATATGTAATGAACAGGAAAATCCATAAAACACATAAATGAATACATGCAGATATAGAGCAGTAGAGTTTCCTGAGAGAAAAGATTGGGGCACCTACTTCGGGGTGTTCTTGGTCAGTCAGTCTTAGAGCGTGATGGTGCATCCATATCATGGGGAGCTGGACCTTCAACTCAAGACTCACCTTCCTGGGGGAGCCGTCCCTCACTCCCCTGGGCCGAGGTAGTCAGTCTCTTCTCTGGCTTCCTTTTTTGTTTTTTTTTTTTTTTTGGCGGCACGCGGGCCTCTCACTGCCGTGGCCTCTCCCGTTGCGGAGCAACAGGCTCCGGATGCGCAGGCTCAGTGGCCATGGCTTACGGGCCCAGCCGTTCCGTGGCATGTGGCATCTTCGCGGACCAGGGCACGAACCCGTATCCCCTGCATCGGCAGGCGGACTCTCAACCACTGCGCCACCAGGGAAGCCCAGCCTTTCTCTGGTTTCTTTAGTGCATGAATGCTCCCTCTACTTCACATTTGCTCACTGAACTGTGAGTCGTGGATGCCAGCTTGGAGCAGGGCTCTCCTCCCTCCTGGGGCCCGACCTGCCTGAGGATGTATTTGTATCTCCAGCCCCTGAGGCCCAGTCAATACTATGGAATGAATTATATAGAATGTTCAACCCTGCATTTTTCTAGGACAAAGCCCCCGGAGAAATCCCGCCCGGGGCATAGTATAGGCAGAGGTGATGCTGTAGTCTTTGTTTTGCTATTGAACCAGAGACAGCCGTTAACATTCCCTCCCAACCCCATTCACGCCGTTGAACTTTGAAGGAGAATCTCCATGTAACCTGAAGTCCTCGACATACTGAGAAGAATCACTGAAACCAATACTGCTTCCCACCCAGGTGTTCCACCAGGTGTTGTAAATATTGTGTTTGGATTGGGACCCAGGGTAGGCGAGGCGCTGGTGTCCCACCCAGAGGTGCCCCTCATCTCTTTCACTGGGAGCCAGCCCACGGCCGAGCGGATCACACAGCTGAGTGCTCCCCACTGCAAGAAGCTCTCGCTGGAGCTGGGGGGCAAGAATCCTGCCATCATCTTTGAAGATGCCAACCTGGAGGAGTGTGTTCCGACCACAGTCAGGTCCAGCTTTGCCAACCAGGTATGTCCTCTGGGTTTTTTCTTCCCTTTTGTTTATTTGCTTGTTTTTAACTCAGTAGCCCTGTCAAGCTGGATCTGTTGCATCACAGTGCAAAACTGGGGTAAGTCAATCCAGGACTATTTCAGTGAAAGGAGAATGGTTACATTGTGTTACTCCATTGACTATCTGTTCAATCATAATGTCACTCAGAAGCCTTGTGGCGTCTCCTGTGCAGCGAACTCCTCTTCTTGAGTTACACAGCTTTTATCGGGTGATGACTTCTTTTTTGCTTCTCCAAGCTTCCCCATTCCTTTATTTATAGTTTTCCCAGTCTTTTCTTGCTGTCCAGGTGTCCTAGCTCCTGGAAACCTTATTATCCCTCCCCAAAGCATCCCAAATGCATTCACACACTTAGAAATAAATACCTGAACAAGTCTCAAGCAAGTTTCTTAACTTAACATCATGGAGGAGCCTTGAGCAACTTTGTTTCTCCTGATTGTTGGATGGGTTGTTGTGAAGATGAAATATCAATGTGATGAAAATATTTATTTATGCATATATGTACAATCATACATACACAATACTGACAAGTCCAGAATGTGGTTTGTAAACTATTACATGTTATGTTCAAATGATGATAAGGATGATTTTTCACTCAGAAATCTGTTAGCACCTCTCCCTGGAACACTCAGTACCTCTATTTGGATGTCCAGTAGCATCTGAAACTTAACCTGTGCAGAGCAGAACTCTTGATTCCCCTCCCTCTCCTTTCCCTGCGGTACCTCTGCTCTCCCCGCCTTGTGTTTGCCTCTCCAGGGAAGAGACTACCATCCACTCTGAGACTCAGGCCCCAAATCTGGGACTCATCCTTGTTCTTACTTTCTCTTTTCCTTATACCTCACTAATCCACCAACAGGTCCTGTTAGTTCTATCTTTAAAATCTATCCTGAATCCTATCATTTCTCCAGAGCATCTATGCCAGTTTCCTTATGCTTTTGGGGTCCCATGCCCCTTTAAGAATTTGTTAACCTCAGTGGACTCCTATCACTTTTCTCATCTCCATTGATCCTGCCTTGTCCAAGCTACCTCCACTTATCCGAATGTCTGAAAAGCTCTCTTAACACTCCCCTGTTCCCACTCTCCTTCTCTCCAATTATATTCTCCACACGGCTGCCAGAACGATCATTTTAAAATGTAAGTCCAATCCCATCATCTTGCTGCTTAAAGCCTTCCATGGTCCTTTCATGATACTGCAGATAAAATGCAAGCTCTCTGTGAGTCTATGAACCTGTAAGACCCTGTGTGGTGTTGCCTCGCTCCTAGCCCCCTGCCTTTGTCTTCTACATCCCTCTGACCCCTGTCCCTGCCTCCATCCCCACCCTCAGCCCCACTCACCTTCCTGCCTTTCCTCACACACTCCAAGCTCATTCCTGTGGCAGGTCCTTTACATTTACAGCTGAGAATTCTCTTCCTTCAGATCTTCATCCATCCAGCTCCTTCACGTCAATCAAGGGTCAGTTCAAATATCCCCTGTTCACCAGTGCCTTCCAGGACTCCCTTTAATAAAAGGGAGTAAAAGCTGCCCCCCCATTATTTTCTATTCTCATTCTCTGCTTAGTTTTCTTGTATTGTTTTGGTCACAACCTGAAGTTATATTGTTCATTGAGCTTTACTTGTGCTGTTGCCTGTCTTCCCTATAAGACAGTGCCTTCCACATGGTGAAACTTCATCTTGTTTACCACTGTCTCCCATTGTCCAGACCAGTGCCTGATACGTGACAGGCACTCAGAAGTGCAGGGTGATCTATCCAAGAAGGAGTGGGCCCTCCTGTTTTGTCACTGTCCTCATGTGTCATTCTTGGCAGGGTGAAATTTGCCTCTGCACCAGCAGGATCTTTGTCCAGAAGAGCATCTATAGTGAATTTTTAAAGAGGTTTGTAGAAGCTACCAGAATGTGGAAAGTTGGCATTCCCTCTGACCCATCAGCCGACATGGGAGCTCTGATCAGTAAAGCTCATTTGGAGAAAGTAAGTAAATCCCTGTGTGTAAGTTACAGAAAGAGTTCTTATTTTGAGAGGAGCTCAGCACGAGGCATAACACTATCTGTGCTTTGAAATACTGTTAATTACTACCCTATTTTTTGATAATTATGATGTGTGGGAAATTGTCTCTGGATACAGAGTCTGAAAATGTTAGAGATGAGTACAGAAATGTAGTCCAGGTTAAAGCAGCCTCTACATGACATAAATGAACTTGAGAAGTCAGTAAAGAGATGCCACCAGTAGAGTGAGGAAGGCAAATTGCAGAGCATGAAGGTCAGGTGATGAGAATGATGTGAGCTGAGAGTGGCAGGGATTTCCACCGGTAAATGTTCCCAGTCAGTCCCCAGGCAGTAAGGGTCTGCCTCTGGCTTACAGCAAACGGGAGTCTAGAAGTGCGAATCCAATCCAAATGATGCGGTCCTTAGTTGGTGGGGTGACTTGTGGGAGCCTCCGTGGGAGAAGCCATTGATGTTCTCTGGGTGGCTTATGGAATTTGGGTCTTCAGGATCATTTTAATTCATTACCTGGTGGGACTCCCAAAATAAGTCATAGAATTTCAGAGCTAAAAAGACCTCATTTCCAGCTGTAGTAACTCAGGCCAACCAAGGGTAATGGTAATACACCCCTATCAGTTAACCAGTGAGGGACAGAGCCTTCACTTAAGTTTGAAGAACTCTCTGACACTGCACAGATTTGGTAGACTTACTACATTTTAACTTTTACCTTCACTATAGTGTGGAGCACAGATGCCCGTAGGTGGGAAGGTGTAGTCTCAGTCTTGCTGGTCTCTTCTTACTTGTTTTCTCAGTAAAATGGGAAGCAGGGTGAGGACGGGAGATGGTGTTGAAGGTTTCAAGAAGGAGGAAAAGGTGTGAGATAGTCTTGCAGGAGATCAAGAGAGAGAATGGGCTTCGAAGTGACTGTATTGTTGCTGGGGCAGCTCCAAGGGCTCACCTGGAGCTGTGATCATTTACGATCACATTAAATAAATATGTGGTCATTTATTTAAAGTGAGACCGGCCAGCATGACTGTGTTTTCCTCCAGTCAAAGTCACCTACAAGATTGCAGGCACATGGGCAGCTGTCCCCAGAGTGCCTGTGGTGGACCCACGGTTGTGGATGTTCCCACCCTTGCGGAGCGAGGCATCACCAGATACAAGAGGCTCCCTTGTCCTCCCTTATCTGGCTGTTCTAGACAAAGGGATACACGCTACCTGCCCACACATGCAAATAATTGGTGAAAAATAACCTCCTGCATGTTCCCGAATGCTTTCTGTGGCACAGAATTAACTTCCCAGAAGCATCTTCCAGTAGACTCAGGCCATGGTGTCATCTAAGGTCCCCTTTGCAATTCACCATTCACCTGAGACTCAAAGTTCTCTTTATTAACTCAGCAGAAAAACTGTTCTTCCGTCGTAGGCACTGTTATAATAACTATTTAAGTTCCCCAATGAGGGGAGGTGTATCAGTGAAACAAATCAAAGTATTTGACTTTCCTGTAGCAGTTGAAAGATTTGTAGCCCCCTGTCTTTTGTGTGTGAGAGAAACTGATGCCATTCACTGGCTCCTATTGGTAGTTAGGGCTTTTCTCTGTTGTACTCTGAGTGTTTGTCCCTTTTCCCCCACATAGTGAACTTGGGTCAAATACAGGCTCACCAGGTTTCAATGTATTGTAACGCCTGTGGGCTTTAATACAATATTTGTGATGCTCAGTGTATCCCTGCTGGCCCAAAGGGGCCCTCTCTTTAGCCTGCCCCCCCAATGCCCTCCTGAGCTCCACCACAGGCCCTCCCCGAAGCATTTCTGCTCTCTGACAGCAAGCAGCCTCAGGCCATGTGAGTTGTTCTGCCCCACACGGGCGACAGGACCTCTGTCTACTGAGCCCTGGTTCCTTTCAGTGGAGAATGATAATCAAGGTCCCATGGGTGCCCCTTAGATGATGCCCCATGATAACGAGACAGCCAAGAGGATGTGACTTAAAGCCTGGTTGTGCTGAGCTCTTGTGCTGCCCTTTTAAGAAGTCCAGCTCGGAAAGATGGTAGCTCATCTCAGCTCCACGGTTCTATTGCTTCTAAGGGGGAAGATTTTGCACAGTGTTAAAAATAGTTTTTCATAGTTAAAAACTTAATTTAGTGTTTATCGTAAGCCATTTATTTTTATTTTTTAAGGAAGAACAATAAAGATGGTATTTCCATTATCCCACCACACATAAAACTTCGGGTAGCTCTGGGTTCCCCTTGTTTTGTGGTCCTGTAGGTGGATCCCTCCTCTCAGCTGTGCTCAGAGTCCCCACCCCTCCCCAGTATAAAGTCTCAGAACCTTCCTGCTGTGGCTCAGAGGGTCCCTGGACACCTTCCATCCCTACTACTCTGCCCAGAACACGTACCTGGATGCAAGGAGTCACAGCTTTACCTTCTGGGTCTCTCACCAGGTGGGCCCCTGATGGGGGGCTCTCAGCTCAGGTCTTGTGAGGAAGCCCTAGGTGTCTCTGCCCTTTGAGAGGGAGCCAATGGAAGCAGCTTGGGAAGTGTATGCGTGTCTTTTTCAGGCTGTGACTCTTTTCAGTTCAGTGTGCCAAACCTTGATCTGGGATCAAGGCGGCAGCAGGCACACTCCACTGGCAGTCGTCTTTCCTCTCCTTTCGCCAGGAAGCTTTGGGGTCTGCGAGCCAAGGAATGGCCGGCTGCCATCCTTGCATTGCACCCCTCCTCTTCTGCAGTAGGTCTCTGTCTTCTCCAAATCAAATTAATTGACTTCCCTGGCAGTCCAGTGGTTAAAACTCTGTGCTTCCACCACAGGGGGCGCGGGTTTGATCCCTGGTCGCCTGGTCAGGAACTAAGATCCTGCGTGCCGTGCACGGCCAAAAATAAATGAATGCATGAATAAATAAATAAATCAAATTAGCCACGGGATCTTTGTTTCCATCCTGTGGGATTGTCACAACAGATGGTGATGCAGTGACAGAAGAATCCAGCTAGAGGCTGTGACAGTTGTTTTGTAATGGCCAAGGGCTCCTAAGTGCAAGTGTGACTTCGTAGGTTCCCAGGACGGTGGCGCGGACCCACAGGAAATGGCAGGTGATTCTGTCCTCAGGGAATGCAGAAAAATCTCCCTTGCCTATTTCACAGGGTTGCTTTTTGTTTTCATTTTTGTTTTCCTTTTGACTCTCCAGAATCCTTCCCTGCTTGACTGTCTGGAGAATCTGGCTCTAGGCCAGACTTCCAAAGATGCAGATAGCCAGAGAGAGAGAATCCTTGAGTGTTGACAGTGAGGCGGGGGGGGGGGGGAAGCACAGAGGAAGTTCACAGGTATATCCCCCAATAAGGCCAGGCTTCAGGTCTAACTAAGGTCCACTCTTGCGGTTTCCTGTCCTCCTCTGTCAGTTAACCCCGCACCCCGACGTACACAGTGGGGAGCATCCCTGAAATCTCTTAGCTCGTGAGTGTCAGATCGTGCATTATATCATGATCATCATCACCATCACCAGCAACACCAACGCAAACGACAGCAGCTGACTTTCAAAAGACTTACTATGTGTCAGGTATCACACTAGGTATTTTATGTATATTATTTTATTTAGTCCTCTCAAGAGCCCTATGAATAGGTGACACAGTCAATCCCATTTTTCCAGTGAGGAAACTGAGGCGTAGAGCTTTTCTTTTTTTTTTTTTTAATTTATTTTTGGCTGCATTGGGTCTTCATTGCTGCGTGTGGCCTTTCCTCTAGTTGTGGCGACTGGGAGCCACATTGTGGCTTCATTGTGGTGCGTGGGCTTCTCATTGCGGTGGCTTCTCTTTGTTGTGCAGCATGGGCTCTAGGCGTGCGGGCTTCAGTAGTTGTAGCTCGCAGGCTCAGTAGTTGTGGCTCGTGGGCTCTAGAGCGCAGGCTCAGTAGTTGTGGCGCACAGGCTTAGTTGCTCTGCGGCATGTGGGATCTTCCCGGACCAGGACTCGAAGCCGTGTCCCCTGCACTGGCAGATGGATTCTTAACCACTGCGCCACCAGGGAAGTCCAGGTGTAGAGCATTTAACAGCCCTCAGCTGATAAGTGGAGGAACTGGGATTTGAGCACTGCCGTGCTCCCAAGCCCACTCTTCTAACCTCTGTGCTTTGATTTTATGGCCAAAACTACTCAACATTAAGCGCTAACTGCTCTCTGCTCTCTCCTCTCAGAAAAGGTTTCATAAGAATATTTCACTGCGTCTTATAGCACATTCACGGTTACAAAGTTGTTCTTCTGAGCTGCAAGTATAGATATCATTGTGTCACCCAGTGATACTTTCTCTAGAAAAGAAATTCAGTTTAGTGTGTAACTTATATGTTGAATAATTTGATACGTTCACAATTTGAAAACTGACACTTCTCTTGGTATTTTATTATCCCAAGAGCTTCAAAGAGAGAATCATGTAGTTTTGTTTAGACACAATCATCTCAAACCAGAGCGCTCCTTGCACTGTTGGAATCGCTGATAAAGGTTTTGGCTCTACATCCAGCAGGGGCCTCTGGAGACTCATCTGCACTCGCCTTGTTCACACAGGATGCTGCCTCTGCCATCTTTTAATTAATGTGACCGGGTTGCTTCAAAAGAGCAAGAGAGTCGGGGAAGGAAAAGTCCAGATGTATTGTGGACTCTACCCACAAACTCAACGAGAGCTTTTCAGGGAAAGCTTTGAGATCATTGTTCACGTTGGGGAGGAGGAATAGTGGAGAATATAAAGCTCTACCAAATGCTCGCTTTTTCAAACGTCTTTGACTTCATGGCTTATTAAGTGTTCTATAAACTGAAGCAAAGTTAATAATGAGACATTATCTTTTTATTTTTACATGGCAAACATATAGCTCTACAATGAATATAGTTCTACAATGGAGTACTAATCTAATATTGGGGCAGAATGCTCAGATAGATACATGATAATCCGTAGGATTCCAAAATATCATTCCACACTTTACCCTGCCTTTGATGTACTATTTGACTGTTTTTTAGACTTTTACTTTTGGGGATTACTTTTCTACTTCTCCTATGCTTATAACGCCCCTCAAGGGTAGAAGAGTGTATCATTGTGACTTCAACAACATTTTCAAATATAAATAGATACGCCATTATTATAATGAGTCATTTCTGTAACCAATATTAAAAAAAAAACATCTGTCATTATCTCCGAGTCACTGGGTCAACTTATTACATAATTTATTTCCCCTTATTGTGAGCTTTACTCTATTACCTAGATATATTTTCACAATATAATCAGTACTGAGATGAGACATTAGAAATTATTTGTTCTGGAAGCTCAGCTATTGAAGGGCACCCTGGCTTTTAATTAAGTCTTATATACCATTCAACTTCCCATTTTCTGCAATGGACATAGTCTCCCCCAAAGTGAGAAAATATTAGTCTGTGTATTTAACTACTGAATATACCTGAGTGTGAGTTCTAGCTTTACTGTTTATTATCCATTTGAACCCTCTGCCCTTTCTGAGGCTCAATTATATAATCAGCATATAGGAGATAATAATACGTAGTTTATAATAGTTTTGAGAGAATTACCTGAGAATGTGAGAAAAGCATTTATCTGCATGCCTAGCACTTAGACATTAAATAAAAAACTCTCCTCCTCTTACCTATGAGGGCTGAATGCCCAGATAATACTTAGAGCACTTCTGCACTCAGGCTTACTTAGCAGCTGAGTGAAAATATAATCAACCTTAGATTTTGGGGGGGAATGACCTTATACATCTTGATGCTTCAAAAATATTGAATTTTCTCTGCTTTGTGTGAAGACAAACGATAAGTTGTTAGTATATTTTTTACCTCTCCAGGTCAGAAGTTACATCAAGAAAGCTCGCATGGAAGGGGCCCAAATTCTGTGCGGTGAGGGAGTGGATAAGTTAAACCTCCCCCCCAGGAATCAAGCAGGGTACTTCATGCTTCCCACGGTGATAACAGACATTAAGGACGAGTCCTGCTGCATGAAGGAAGAGATATTTGGTCCGGTGACGTGTGTCGTCCCCTTTGATAGTGAAGAGGAAGTGATTCAAAGAGCCAACAGTGTTAAATATGGACTGGCCGCCACGGTGTGGTCAGGCAACGTGGGGCGTGTCCACCGGGTGGCCAAGAAGTTACAGTCAGGCTTGGTCTGGACCAACTGCTGGCTCATCAGAGAGCTGAACCTGCCTTTCGGGGGGATGAAGAGTTCTGGTGTGGGTAGAGAAGGAGCCAAGGACTCTTATGAATTCTTCACTGAAATCAAAACCATCACCATTAAACACTGACCTTGGCCATTGGAGAAGCTGTTACAGTTGACGCCTGGCTGCAGAGAGAATCAGTCATCCAGTGTGGTGAACGGAATTCCTGGCATAAATTTCAGCCACGTCTTGACTCAGCAGAAGGTTATCTCTATAGCTTATCCTCTGTACTTAGTATTTTTACCCTCTGGTGAAGAGATGCAATCTCTTTTCACTGAAGAGTTGAAGAATAGGAAGGCACAAAAAGGAAGCCAGACAATGATCAGGCTCCTCTTAACTTGTGTCTTCGTAGTATTTTTTCATCATTTTGATAAAATTCTTGGAAATTCACAGATAACCAGATTTATTTTTTTCATTTGCAAGTATACGGTAAAAATAAAAAAAATAATCTACAAAGCCAAGAGAAATCACCATAATTTCTACCTTTGGGGAGATTGTAGAGGTTGTTTCCCCATCCATCAGACACGGGCATGGCTCACTGGTAATTGACTGTACCTCATTATGCAAGGGGGCCGTGAATGTTGATGATGTACTTTACGTGGGGTTTGTCAGAGCAGGCATATATGGTAGGTCTCACTAAATATATCTGTATAAGGACAAAGAAGAATAAAATAACTACTACTTTTGGAGGAAACTTAGAACAAGGAGAGTTTGATCCATTCCTACTATGGAGACTAATCAATTCCAATTCTTAGCGTATGTATCTCAGGAGACTTAAAATTTACTAATCCTAAAGGAAGCAATAAATGTTAAGCAATTTTAGTAAGTAGTATGGCATACACCTTGTTTATGAATTGTCTTTTATTCATCCTTAGCCTCATCCTCTTAGGAGCACGGACCTTTTACTAAGTAACAGTGGTATATCTAGCACTTGTTTCCTGAATCCCCCAATAATCAGAGGAGAAATCTGAGGTTTACAGAGATTAAGTAGCATGTTCAAGGTCACACAAATGGTGTGGGGCAGAGGAAGGATTTGAACCCGGGGCTCTCAGACTCCATACCCTAGGATCTCTGGCCATTTCGCGCTTACCTTGGGTTGTGCTTCAGAAGCAGCGAAGTCCTTATGGTTCATGGAACACATCGTGTTGGGTGTCCCCTCTGTGTCTCCCTCCTGCTTTGCCTCTCCTCCCCCCTACCCCTTTTCTCCTACCTCACTCCACTCAGTCATGCAACCCAATCCATGAAGCCAGGAATTCCTCGAGTACAGCCCTTTCCATGCTGACTGAAATGATCTGTTTGCATGTCTCATTTCCTGATGGGACAGGAGTTGCTGAAGGTCAAGGCAGGTGTTATTCCCCTTTGAAGACTCGGTTCACAGCCCAGTGCCTGGCACATAGAAGATGCTCAAAATGAGTTATGGGATGGAACGAGGTCTTCCTGGGGCACTGGGGTATTTGTTGCGTGGCGATTGGGGGTTTGGGTCAGGGGGTGCAGAATAATCTTTACACTTCTGTGTAGAACTTGGCATATGTTGGCTTGTTTACAAATGCTGAAAAATATAAGTCCCTCTGAGGTCAAGTGATGGGTGTCGGATCGTACCTGGTTCTTAGCTTCTGCCTCCTCTCCCCTCTCCTGTCCTTGCTTTCCCTCTTCCCCGGCTGAGGTTCCTTGACCTTGATCAGATAAGTCTAGGACCAGTTCTGAGTGTCAGCAGAAAGAAATTCAGTAGCTCCAGTGTCTAAGAATTTGCATCTTCACTCTTGTAGTTGGTCTGATCCAAGCTCATCCTTATTTCTAAGACCTAAGCCCTATTTTGATTCCAAATTCTGGCAACTGAACCTCTTAGCTCCCAGTGCCTGAATACCCATCTCCCACCACACTGGTTTTCTGTCCAGGAGACTGTTCTCTCTAGGATTTGGAGTCAGCCCTGCTCTTGTCACTTCTTTCCTGGGCTCTGGATCCCACCTTGTGGAGGGGCCTGCTTCCTACTGACACATTCTGGATGCCATTTCCCTTTATCTGTGTTTCTTTGGGTCTCTAGAAGCTCCTGTGGGCTCACGTGTCAGTCTCATGGATGCAGATTTGACCAAATGCTGTTCTCCCTCAACTCACCACTGCCTTAGCTCTCAGGTCAAACCATTGGCTACAGTGTCTTAGCGCCCCAGTTAGATTTTTCCTCATCTGTTCTATCCCAACCAAGTGGGTGAGTTTAGTCCTAAGACCTTACCCGTCCCTGGCCATCTCATACTGTCTCAGGCCCCACATCAGCTAAGGGTGCCATTTGGGTCTGTGCCTACCCCACTACAGAGTCCCACCAGAGTGCTACCTCTGTGGCCATGGGGCTGTGCTCAGAACTGAAGTAAAGAGAATCAGGAGAGATGGTCACAAGGGTTTCAACTATATTTGTAACATTTTATTTCTAAGCTGGATAATGGGCACTTGGGCATTTACTATACTATTTCCTAAGTAGGAAACACTTATATACCAAAGGGAGAGTGGCTGATGTGAAAGACGAACCTGGAGCATGCCCAGGAGAGTGCTGAGCAGAGGCGGAACCACGCCAGCCTCCGAGGGCCTGGGCCCAGGCAGCAGGGATGGAGAGCAGGAGCTGAAGGGCAGCAACAAGGACCCTGCGGAGCAGCACTTCTCAGATTTTGATGTGCTTCTGATTCACCGAGGACTCTTGTTAAAATGCAGACTCAGATTCAGCAGGTCTGGGGTGGGACCTGATTATACTTTCAGCGTGGAAGGACTTAGAAGACACTTTGTGAAACACGGGTGCAGGTGTCTCCCCACTCCCCAGGTCCCTGGATCAGCTGGCTGCAGCATCTGCCCCTCCTAGAGACAAAGGAAGTGCTCAAAAACCAGGGTAGAAGAGCTTCCTGGGGAGGCCTCCTGTATGGCTGTTGGCACAAAGCGGGAGATAACTGGGGCCTTCGCATGCAACTCAGAGGAGGCGGAAGGAAAGGCAACTCCACCTAAGGGTGAGATCCACCGAAGAGTGTCACCATCTGTGATAAAGTCCACCTCACTTCGAAGGTTATGAGGATACAAGCTGAACTGTCCGAATACCCTAGAAAGAAGCCTGTCTCTGACCCTCTCACACGTGGGACTGTACAGTTAGTCCCCCGCTCGGTGATGGGTCTTATGGGTAAACTGCTTTTCCAAACTGCAAAGAATAACTTTGCCAACTACCTATAATAACCAACCAACATGCTTTCTTATTAAAAAGATATTACTGACCAATCAAGGATCATCAAATATTTGGTAAAAGAGAAATGTCAAGATGTGTGAAAGAGTGACTGACCACAGGAGAAACAGATAAAAGAAAGAAGACAAGAAAAAGTGAACTAGCATCTTCAGAGTGGTTTGAGGCAATAGTGGGTTCCCACAAAAGAAGAGGCTACTATGAAAAAGGAGCAGGCAGGGGTTCCCTGGTGGCGCAGTGGTTGACAGTCCGCCTGCCATTGCAGGGGACGTGGGTTCGTGCCCCGGTCCGGGAAGATCCCACATGCCACGGAGCGGCTGGGCCCGTGAGCCATGGCCGCTGAGCCTGCGCGTCCGGAAGCCTGTGCTCCGCAACGGGAGAGGCCACAACAGTGAGAGGCCCGCGTACCGCAAAAAAAAAAACAAAAAAAAACAGGCAGGGAACATGAAAGAAGCCATGACAAATTAAAAATTCCCCAAATACATTTTAAAAATCAGGAGAATTGAACCATTGGTATGGCTGAAAACTAAATCAGTAATCTGGAAGATAAAGTTGAGAAAATAGCTCAGAATGTAGAGAATGACAGAAAAGGAAAGTATCCAAAAGCTGGGATGGAGGATAGATCTAGAAATCTATTCATATGTAACTAATCCAAGATCAGAGGACAAAAATGAATAATCAAATAAATTAGAAAAGATAACTTTCCTGCCCTAAAAAATGACTTTCAGATGGAAAATACCCACCATGTGCCAAGAACTATTCTGTTGAAATTTTGAAATTCCTAGTATAAAGCTTTCAGAGAGAATTCCCAAGATACCTACAAAAAAACAAAGAACAAAAAACCCCAGAAGATTAATAATATTGATGCTAGAAGACAGTAGAGCAAGACTTCAAAATTCTCAGGGAAAATTATTTTGAACTTCTGCCGGCAATTATAGCCAGCAAACTGTTACTCAAGAATTAAGACAAAATAAGATATCCAATGACTGAGAAAGTTTGTCCTATGTTCTCTTCCTGGAATGACTTGGGGATGTAGTGCAGGAAAAGGAAAACTGAATCCAACGAACAGAACTGTCTGAGGAATAAAATGAAAAGATGTTTCCAGTTACCAGCTGTTAATCAGGCCTAGAAGGCAACTGGCCCAAATTAGAACAAGGAAGACAGGAAGTAGTGATTGAAGAACATGTTTAATAATCTGGAAGATCTTAGATATGTAAGAAGGTACATGTATGGCTGTTCTATCCATTAGAATAAAGGAAACAAAAACTATTCAGATATCATGATAAGATAAAGCAAACTGAAATGTGACATGACTTGGAAAAATAGAAGGGGTGTAAGTAAAAAGAATCCATTTTTCCGTCATTTTTGGGGGGGTGTATATTTTTGATAGCATAAAATCACATTCCCATCTTTATGGGCCTTACATACTCCTTGATGCTGCAGTTAATATTTATATATTTTGAATATCTGAATACCTGTTACTGGTTTTCAGTTTTTAAAGTCAAACTATTTTGGAAACTTACCTAAATTAACCTTGGAAGATGTCCTCCAGCGCCCTGAGTGCTGCAGGTCTGCCCAGGAGGAGGTTCTAGAGAGGCAGACCCAGGAGACCCCTCCTCCCACCTCACCTGTTCTTTCCCTCCTGCCCACGCAGGGAGGGTGAGAGGCCCTTCTGGCCGTCTGTAATGGATATTCCCCTAAGCCTGAGACCAGACTTTTAAAAGAAATCTTCAAAACCTGTGGTCCTTCTTTGCTTTGGATTTGCTTAGCTCCTGGCAATTTCTGGTGTCCTTTCCTTGGAGCTGTTTGCAGCTTCCTGTCACCACCATTAACAGTAGGTAGATCCGCCCCAAGCTGTCCCAGTGATGAGCCCCTCACTTCAGGCTTTGCAGGTGAGCGTTTCCAGGTATACTTTTAGGAAGACATTTTGCTCATGCGTATCTAAAGCAAGCCTTCTGGAATATGTCCCGGTGTTCATTAGTCTAACGGTCCCAAGCGTTCACGTTGTCAGTCTCTGTTGCCACACTTGTCAGCGCTGCAGTCAGTACTGACTCACCCAGGGCCTGGGCAAACCATTGGCATCACTACTCTGAGGCTTCTGCCAAACAAATGCTAGGTAGCTCTTCTGGGAAGAGTCATATTTCTGATTGCAGCCGGCCATTCATCAAGCGTCTGGAATTTGCCTAATCTTGTCTGTTGGCCCAGGATATGCCCTCTTCATGCTCTGATTAAGCTTTCGCATCCCACACCTCATTGCATTTCTCATCCACATTCCTTAGTCCAGTCTTTATTTCAGGAGATATCATTATACTCCAATCTCAGATAACTGCCATTCCAGTGTGACTCAACAGTTTCTAACAAAACTTTGAAAAATACTCCTTGGAATAGTAAGGACTGGTGGAGTCACTGAATCATAACCAGGTAGAGTCTCCAGGGATCTTGAGATCACCCTGTACAGCCCTCTCCCACTCCCAAATGGACAGCTGAAGCACAAAGGGATTAACTGACTTGCCAAAGATCTTACAGCAAATAGAGCCTCTCGTTGGAACTGGATGTACAGAAATACACAAGTATCAAAGAGGTAGAGGTATTCTGAGGACAATGGAAATAATTGCAGATTCTGGTAAAT